TATCTATCTATCTATCTATCTATCTATCTATCTATCTATCTATCTATATCTATTCTATCTATCTCTATCTCTTTCTATCTATTCCACATCTCTATCTATTCTAGGGGTCTTCAAACTTGACAGCTTTAAGACTTGTGGGCTTCAACTCCCAGAATTCCTCCTCCAATCATGTTAGCTCAGGAATTCGAGGAGTTGAAGTCCACAAGTCTTAACCTTGCCAAGTTTGACATAAGTTTGAGTAATGGATGGAAATTAATCAAGGAGAAAATCAATCAATGATCTAAGAATTTTCCTGATAGTTAAATATACTGCCTGGATGATTGGGTGTTCATTGGCATATTCCTGGCAGTTAGAACAATCAATCAGCGGAAAGAGTTGCTCCCAGAAGCTGTGGGTGCTCCATCACTGTGTTTTCAGAAGGGATTGGACAACCATTTGTCTGAAATGTTGTAGGCTTTCTGCTTTGAGTGGGGAGTTGGACTAAAAGACCTCCAAGGTCCCTTCCAACTCTGTTCTGTCACCAGAACCTTGAGGAATTGCTGTCTTTAAGATTATTTCTTTACAGTCTTTGATTTATGTGGGTAAAATGAGGACCCAAATTGTTGGGTGCAATAGGCTGACTCTGTAAACTGCTTTGAGAGGGCACTATAAAGCGGTATATAAGTCTAAGTGCTATTGCTGTTACCTCTTCACTAGCAATCAACGGCCCATTGGACTAAAGTTAACACCAAGATTAACACCAGACCAACAATCAACAAGTATAAAATACCCCAATCAAGGAACTACAAACACAGACAAACAAGCTAACAGTAAACAACAGCCTAATCAAGGAACCATCAAGACCACTCCCACCAATAATGATAGGCCGAGCTACTAGTATATAAAAACAACTTCAAACCTCACTCCCTTGTAGCACTGATGATATTACCTAGTTGGGTAATGAAATGTGTACAGGAAACCACCAAATTCAGAGAACACCCAGGGATCCCCCAATTATTTGCTGCCTCCATCATTCAAGGGAGTCTAGGCGGCACACAATATACTGAAACAAGTAAAAAGCATTCTATCAGGGAAGGAGATGTCAAGAACCAGGGCATAATGTCACCCCGCCCCAGAGCCTGTAGGATAAATGTTTGGGATGTTTGACTTTGGAGAGATGCAAAGTTTGCATGGCAGCAATTTTGAGAGCTACCTTTGAGCAATACCTGGCTAGCTGCAGAAACAAAGCATGATGAGGACTCTGGATGGAGGACCACAGGACATGCCCAGGTTTTAGAGTAGAACAGGGGTCTCCAGCCCCCAGTTCGTGGACCAGAACTGGGCCGCATAAACAAGCAAAATTCCATCCACAAGATGCAGCAGCACACAAAACCCCGCCCCCCGCCAGTTCATGGGTTAGATAGATTCTGTTTTTTTTAAGTAAACCACTTCCATATTGCTCTCAAGAAGAGGACTATGCATGGATAGTTCTAGAAAGTCTAGGAAGAGCCAGTTTGGTATAAATTACAATACTAGTTAAGGTGTTGGCCTACAAACCAGGATACTCTTTGAGTTCTAATCCTGCCTTCGGCATGAAAAACTGGCTGGGTGACTTTGGCTTAGGGTTATGGTTAGGCCGATTGACTTCATAGGGTTGTTGCTATGGGTAAAATAGGAAGAGGAAGGAGTGTTTGGTATGCTTGCTGCCTTGAGTTGTATATGTAAAAAAAAAGCAGTATAAAAATCTAAACAAAATCAGTCATCAGAAACGGAGAATGACTCAGAGAAGAATGGCCTACCATGAGAACGATGTTGGGATCCAATCACATGTGAATAAATCATCCTCCCTTTCCCAAAAGCCAGCAAGCCAGATGCAAAAACAAAGATCTTGCAAGAATACAAAGTTGAAATGCACTGGACTGGTAAGATAGCATAATTAGTTCAAGGAATACTAGTGGGCATTTAGCAACAAGAATGGATCTTAAGTATAAAAACATCAACATTAATACAAATAGTTCATTTTTCATTTGAATCTTATTTGGAAAGGAAGCATACCTAATCTGGAGCCAGCACTCTCTGCTTTCACCTTGGGTTGTCAGCTTGGTGCCTCTCTTGGATGAGATGGTCTGTTCAGATTTGTTTGTCCTATTGAATACATAAAGACAAATACTTTATTTTTAGGCACAGCAGCACGTATCTCTATGTTGCTTTTCTATCATGCTTTGCTAAATACTTAAGGAGCTTGGAACTTTGGGCATATGGCAGACTGATAAGTTCATAGGCCATTTCTAAGGCAGATAAGCAAATAGTTCATGACAGCTTAGGATATTGTAGTACTTTGGTTTACGTGTCTTATGTGATGTTATTAAAGAATCTGGTCATTTTTACTTGAATTCAAAGTTTACCATAGTACTTGCAGCTGCTTAAAATCACCTGGGACTTGCTTATGTAACAGTCACACATTTGGCTTCCAAACAGTGGGAAACTGAGCATTTTATATAGCAGGTTTAGCTAAGTGTCATCTCTGTGAAAATATTGTGTTTATTTGATATTGACACGTCTTCCTACCCGTGATGTTTCTGGTTATTGTCTGGTTATTACGGAGTGCACTGAATATTTTAGGATTTCCAGACTAAAATAAACCGCTAAACTGAACTATTTTTTTAAAAAAAAAGCAAACTGTGAAGCATAGGAAAAATAATTAAATTAAGAATGTTTTGAGCTGGCATACTTTCCAGAGGTAGTGCAATGAAAATGCTTTAAGTCTCTTTCCCATCATTTTTACATGTTAGACATGCTTGAACTAATATACAGTAACAAATTAAGTATCTTATGAAAAGAAGACAAGTCTCTGTGTTCTGAAAAGTCACTTTACTTCCTTGATTGTGGACCAGATTTTATTTTTTGGCTATGTGATGGTCAGGACTTTATAACAATCTTACAGATAGAATAATTAACCATTGCTTGATTATTATTAGTCTTGTATGAGGCTATCAACTCCCAATGAAAACGAATCAGTTTTTATTTTTGCTCTTACCGGTTGCCCATAACTTTTCTAGGGGAAAAAAAAAGACTTAAAAGTGGTAATACATAAACCATTGCTGTTTGTTTATGTTTAAATCGCCAGCTGTGGCCTTTCCCAGGTTTTTTTTTCATCCAAGATTTCCATTTATGCTTAGCCTTGCTTTTTTTTTTCTTTCCCCTTAGAGTTCTTAAAATGGCAATACGTCAGGGTGAAGTGTTGCTGAATACTTTAGCTAACTCTGTGAATACTTTTCATTTTAGTCAGATAATCTGAAGCGCCCTACAATGGTTTGGGAAATAAAGACAAACCAAATGCCTACTGCGGTGCAGAAAGTCCTGTTGGTGATGGACAAGAGAACTTCAGGAATGAACGAGGCACTGGACTTACTGAAGTGTAACGAGAATATTCCGTCTTCTCCTGGATATGCATCTTCTGATGAGCATATGGAACTCGGTAAGTATCCGTTCAAGATTCTTGCATTTTAAAGGGCAGCTCCTTTAAAAACCAACCAAAACCAAAACAGGAAGTCCTCAACTTACAACCACAATTGAGCCCAAAATTTCTGTTGTTAAGTGAGACATTTGTAGTTTTGCCCCATTTTACGACCTTTCTTCCTGGTGATTCTTATGAAATTGCTGCCTTTGATAAGTTAGTAACCCAGTTGTTATGTGAGCCTGGTTTTCCCCATCGACTTTGCGTGTCAGAAGGTCGCAAAAAGAAGATTGCGTGACCTTGGGACACAGCCATGGTCATAAATATGAACCAGTTGCCAAGCATCTGGATTTTAATCACACGGTCATGGGGATGCCGCAAAGACCGTAACGGAAGTGAACTACCAATAATTTTTTTCTGCTCTCTGCACAGCCTTCCTGTCCAAATGCCTCCAAACCACACAGCAATACAGAGACAACAGAGTATAGAAGAACTGAATCATATGGAAAGAGGGAAAGGCAATGTGAAGGATAAATATGTGGGAAAGAGCCAGTAGAAAATGCAGCCGGGAGGTTGACAGAAGTTTGGGAAAGATGGGGCGTGACAGTCCCCCATCCTGTCTTCACATGGCCTGTCCTGAAGTCCTTGCGTACCCTGGAGGCCTCCCATTTTTTAATTCCTAGTCCAGGGGGTGCGAGGTAGTAGCTTAAAAAAGATAAAAATATACTGAGTTTAAGATGATGGCCAGAGTGTATTGTTTATAATCAGGATAACCATCCTGGCTGAAGCTTGGTAGAAAAGAACCAGGGATTATAAAAACCAACAGAAGCACCTTCCGGAAATGAATGGCATCAAACCAGTTTTGCAATCCTGTCAAGAAATCTGGATGCAGAGATTCATGAAATTCCAAGGGGTTGAGATCCATATGAAGAAGACGTTAACTTTCATAGTTTTTGAAATTGAGTTTCATCAATTGAAAGTTAAAAATTACCTTTTACTACATATTCTAAGTAAAGGAGTCTTCAAAAATGGCAACTTTAAGACTTGTGAACTTCGACCCCCAGCATGCCTGGCTGAGGAATTCTGGGAGTTGAAGTCCAAAAGTCTTAAAGTTGCCAAGTTTGGAGATCCTTGTTTCGAAGTGATACTTTTTGGCACTATGGGATTCAATGCCAAATTTCAATTATGGGATTTTTCAAAGTCTCTTCAAATTGTCGTAAGGGAAGACTGTACAAATATCTTAGTTTCAGAGATCTAATTTCATAGTCCTCTTAAAAAACAACAACAGGCACACTCAGGTTAAAGGCCCCATCTAACTGAATTAACCATGCCTGAGGATTTATTTTCTGTAATTTATTTTTAGGTTGTGATCTCAGTCAAACACTGTATGATAGCTTTTTTTACTCAAGATATGTGGCAATTGTTAATTGAAAATCAAGCGTGATTTCATTCCAGCATTCTTAAAGTGGTCAAAATTCTTATATTCCGATAATGTGACTATGTTAAAACAAATGGTGTCGGAGAGTTTGCTTGCTATATTGCCCAGACCAGAATATCTATTTTTTTCAGCTAAATTATCGGTCACTGCAACCTTTCATTCCAAACTTATTATTGACAACTAAAATACTTCAGGCAGTTAAAATATGCGCATTGGAGCCTGACTATTGTCGCATTTTGTGGCTATTTTCCATATCTTCTGTGTTTTGTGAAATTGAGGTAGTATGCAAATTTTGTTTCTAGTTCTTCATTAGTGTTGCAAATTCAGATGAGCTGTTTACTTGAGACTTCTGAGTAGTTTCATGAAGAGATGAAACTAAGTTTAAAAGTTCTTTTAATGCTCAAATCCAAGATCATGATGAAATATGTTATTTTAGCTACATACTTCTGTTAACTGAATAAGAAATATTTAGCCCCTGTTGATAAATTTTTCAGAAGTGTTTGTAGGATATTTCTTTCTTCCAAGTATGTTGTTCTGTATTCTTCTATTTTGGAATATATGCTCAGTTCAGATAGTTTTGAATTTATATCCTTTCTTTTATGCTGTCATTATATAAGAAGAAACAGTTTGGGTTTCATAATCTTTTCCTGAAACTGGATAACATGTCAGCATAGTAATTCAAAAGACCTAACCCTAGAAAATATTTTATTCTGGGATACACAATCTTATTTATGTGTTGGGCTAGTTTGATTAAGTGGCCCAGTGGTTAAAGTTCAGAATTGCAGACAAACTCTGCCCACAGCCTGGAGTTCCATCCTGATGGGGCTCAAGGTTGACTCAGCCTTCCATCCTTCCGAGGTGGGAAAATGAGGACCTAGATTGTTGGGGGGGCAATATGCTGACTCTAAACGGCTTAGAGAGGGCTGTAAAGCATTATGAGGCAGTATAACAGAATTGGAAAGGATCTTGGAGGTCATCTAGTCCAACCTCCTCGGACAGAACACACTACACCATTTGAAACAAATGGTTGTCCAATCTCTTCTTCGATGTTGGAGCATCCACATCCTCAGGAGGCGAAGTCTTTCCACTGGTTAATTGTTCTAACTATCACGTACATAAGCCTAAATGCTCTTGCTCTCGATAGGCGTGGAATTGACCCTGTACCTTTTCATTGGCAGATGATCTTCCTGAATTGCAGGCGGTTCACAGCGATTCTACCCCACCCGCCCTCTTCCAGCTAAGTGCTCATGTCTCACATCAGGAATACGCAAGGCCTTCTTGGAACCAACACACCTCAGGCAGCAGTCCAGAAAGCGCTTATCCATGCGAGAATGGCGTGAACTGGTTGACGGAGCTGGCAAATATAGCCACGAGCCCACAAAGTCCTCTCATGCAGTGCTCGTTTTATAACACGTATGGGATATTATTATTATTATTATTATTATTACTACTATTATTATTACTGTTGTTATTGTTGTTATCTTTAGTTAGATTCACAGCCTTTGGGGCTGGTTGGTAGCTCAATAGCTCAAGTCCTAACCAAGGACCTAGGAACTGTTCATTGCAGGATATTATTATCATCATCATCATCATCATCATCATCATCATTGCTACAATTTGCAGGCTTGCTTCAAGGTTCCTGCTTTGCATTAAAAGGTGGAGAGAGAAACAGAGAGAATATGCATATATGTGAGGACGATGGTGATTTATTATTTTTATTCTAGTTGGAGCTTTGTATTCTGATTTCCATTTAGTGTTCAAAGTGTAAAGGAAATCATTGTTACATAGATACAGGTAGTCCTTGACTTACTGCAATTCATTTAGTTACCGTTTGAAGTTACAGCGGCATTGAAAGTAATGACTTATAACCATTTTTCATACTTCAGAGAAACTCTGTTAAATAAAAAAAACCCTTAGAAATAGTACAGGTAGTCCTTGACTTACAGCAATTAATTTGATGACCAGAGGTTACAACGGCACTGAGAATAGGGACTTACAACCGTTTCTCGCTCTTACAACCACTGCGGCTTCCCCATGGTCACATGATCAGAATTCAGACGCCTGGCAACTGACTCATGACGTTTGCAGTCTCCCAGGATCACGTGATCCCCTTTTGCAACCTTCATATCATTGGGGAAGCCAGATTCACTTAAAAAACATGTGACTAATTTAACTGCAGAGATAAACTTAATAATGGTGGCAGGAAAGGTCATAACGGGGCAAAATTCACTTTGTCTGGCTCAGCAACAGAAATTTGGGGCTCAGTTGGGGTTATAAGTTGAGGACTACCTGTACATAATTCTGGAGCTGCCCTGTTTCCACTAGAAACATAAAAATAGGAGTACTTTCCACACATCTAACTTGCAGAGCTGTTAACTATGCCCCAAAGTAAAAAGGGCTGCTGAGAATGTGTATGAGCCTTCTTTTTCTCTGCATTAGTGTGTGATGGGTAAGAAAGTGAGTCAAGGCAGTAGATATATTAAGAAATGTCCCTTTTTCTGCTGTCACTCAAAGGGCACTAGAATTTAGGTGCTAGTAGCCTGATAATTGAATGAACAGCTTTCATTTTTAAAAAATAATCCTACTTAACTGCTGAAAATACATTATTTAGCGCAATGAAACAACTAAATCAGCCTTAAAAGAAGGAAATTGTACAAGAAGTTATCAAATTATAACTTGGCCCAGATCTTAAAACGGGATAAGAATATGAAAATTTCTGATTGCTATGCTGATTCAAGAGAAAATTAAATCCAAAAGATCCACCCACAGCCACATCAATAAGTATGCATGCTTTGAAATCCCTCCAGAAACCTTAATCAAACTGGTACAAAAAAACAAAACAAAACAAAATGAGCAAACTAGAGAAACCTCTGTAATCAGTTCTTCTGTTCTTGGTTCAGCTAAAAATACTTCCTTGCTCAGATTGATCTGTTAATTATTTTCTTGGAACTTAGAAGCCAAGTGTGGCTGGCTTTTCATAAAAGAAGCACTAATTCTCTTCTGTAAATAGCAATGTTGATTAGAATACCTGGTCTTGAGATAATGGGATGTTCTAGGAGAAGAATATATCTCCAGCTCGGAGTTGAACTGTAGAGTCCTTGATGTTCTTTGAGCTCAGTTGTTTTCTTGGAGATGCTTCTATTACCAGGCCAGGTAGATTACATTGTCAGCACCGTTGCTACAGGATCCAATCTGGGTTGGTCACTGGGACCAGAGGTTTAGTCTTCTGAGCTTTCGGACTCGTGCTGGAACCCATCCTCAGGAAACTTCTTTCTAGCAGACACACTAACACAGGGGTGGGCAACTATGGCCCTTTTATGAATTATGGACTTCAACTCCCAGAATTCCTGAGCACGCCATGCTAGCTCAGGAATTTTGGGAGTTGAAGTCCACAAGTCATAAAGGGGCCATAGTTGCCCACCTCTGCACTAACAGATTAACAGAGTTGGAAGGGACCTTGTAGGTCATCTAGTCCAATCCCCCTCCCCACTGCCTAAGCAGGAGACCCTACACCATTTCTGACAGATGACAGTCAAGTCTCTTCTTAAAAGCCTCCAGTGAGGAAGTTCCCACAACTTCTGAAGGCAACTTCTGTTCTATGGATTGATTGTTCTCCCTGTCAGAAAATTTTTCCTTATTTCCAGGTTGATCAGTTTCCATCCATTATTCGTTGTGTGGCCTTTGGGTGCCTTGGAAAATAGCTTGACCCCCTCCTCTCTAGGGCAGCCCCTCAAATATTGGAAGACTGCTATCATGTCTCCCCTGGTCCTTCTCTTCACTAGACTAGCCAGGCCCAGTTCCTACAACCATTCATTGTATGTTTTAGCCTCCAGTCCCCTAATCATCCTGGTTGCTCTTCTCTGCACTTTTTCTAGAATCTCAACGTCTTTTTTATAATGTGGTGACCAAAACTGGATGCAGTACTCTAGGTGTGGTCTTACTAAGGCTTTATAGAGTGGTATTGGTACGTCACTTGATCTTGAGTATTAGTAGAGAGAAGTTTCCCCAGGATGGGCTCCAGCACGAACCCGAAGATAAAACCACTGATTCTGGTGACCTACCCAGATTGGATCCTGCAACGTTATCCTGGACACATTTATTTGCCTTCATTGACTGTTGCTACAGATGTTGGGTAACGAAATGCCTGCACAGCAAACCACGAAGCTCAGAGGGAACCAAGGATTCTCTAATGAGGTTCTTAGGATAGAAATAATTTTCATGAATTAATTAAATAACTATTTGCTCTAGGAGGCTCTTTCCTGCCTTTGTCTTTTTGTAGTCGAATGGAAAAGATTTAAAATTTGAGCGTGTCTTTATTGATAAAAGTAACGCTTTATAGACATTTTCTGCTGCTCAAAATAAGCCTGAATAACGGGGGAGGCGGGGGGGGGGGAAGAGATATTGGGAATTGCACTAGTATTGGTGTGTTCAAGGAATAACTAAAGGAGCTTTCCATGGTGTGACAGAATTGCTAACCTGTTATTCTTGTGTATCTTCTTCCTTGATCAACATCAATTCACACATTGTTTTACAATCCTTTCTTAGGTCATCTCCGGTTCACTTACTAGCTACAAGCAAAAGTTTACATTCCTATGCACGCCCACCACCAGAATCTTCTCCAAATGAGACAGGTTTTCCCAAGCATCACGTTGAGGAAACACCAATCAGACACGAAAGGGTAAATTCCATATGTTGAAGTTTCTAAACTTCAGAAATCTTTTTTAAAAAAACAACAAACCTTATGTAGCATGATTTTATATGTTACTCCTTTATATGTGTATTTATTTAGCACGCAGAGGAATAGATCTTGTGTTGCAATGGACAGTTCAGACAAACTAGAAATGTTACAAATGAGCAAAAATCCCCTTTGAAGCTTGGATTAGGGTCAAACATAGTGAAAGACAAGCAGAGATTCCCAGAGGTGGTTTTCCGAAAGGCAAGCTGGACTTTAGTTTTCCCTTGAAGACGTTTTGCTTCAGTCAGAACTGAAGAAGCTTCTTGGATCAGAAGCGAAACGTCTTCAAGGGAAAACAACAGTCCAGCTTGCCTTTCAGAAAAGCACCTCTGGGACCACCATGACCTGGAGGACTGAGAATCTTCCTAGACGAAAAGCAGAGGAGTCGCTGGGGACAAAACAGCAACACAGATGGAAAGAAGATTGTCCCATTCATTTCCAGGCCTTCAACCAACACACAGCCTGCCATTTGATCCTAGGCCAAGGAAAACATGCCAGGACTTACTGGAAAGCAGGAGCTGTCATTGGAAAGATTCCTTGCTTTGTCATGTCAGATTAATCATGGTAGGCTTTTTAGGACGGCTGCCTGAAGTTAATCATGATAAAAGGTTGCAAAGATATTTTTATTTATTGGATTTATATTCCACTTCCAACTGCTTGTTCACTGGAGTGAAATATAGCCTCAAAGGATTAGATTTTAAAGAGAAAAAATGCAACTGTTGTTTTGTTGTTGTTGTTGTTATTATTATTATTATTATTATTATTATTATTATATTTGCCACCTGTCTCCAAGGAGCTACTCTGGGTAGCTCACAGCCATAAGCGCAAAATGAAGAAATAAAAAGGACGTTTAAACAAAGCAAAAATAAAAATAATAGAACAATAAAACAAGGAGAAAGAAAACAAAGGATATACATTGATATTAGTAATTATTATGTAACATGCTTATGTAAGGAATGTACAAGGGCTTTAAAGCATAATTAGAAGATATAAAATTTAGGAATACGCAGGAAAGGCTTGGAAATTGTTCAGTAAGAAAATAACTCCAGAAAGTTTTCTGTTTCAGGGAGTCACATGAATCAACCATTTTGTGTGAACAGACCCAGAAATCTATACGTGCAAACTGTGATTTTATTTTTTCAACAGACAAACAGTGAATCAGAGTCTGGCATTTTCTGTATGTCATCATTGTCAGACGATGATGATCTGGGATGGTGCCACTCTTGGCCTCCAACTGTTTGGCACTGTTTCCTTAAAGGTAAAATAACACTCTCCCCATTACATGACTGGGTTTAATACTCAGGTTTTATCTTTACGGTTACACTGAATACTTTTTTTTTTTCCTCCCCTAAAAAATAAATAAAATAGGAACACGTTTATGCTTTCACAAAGGACGCAATCGCGTATGGATCGATGTTGAAGATTTTGCTCGATCGGCCGGCTGCAGAAACGAGGTTGATGATTCAATGGGAGCCTATAAAGTAAGCTCTGAGTATTTTTCTTACTGCAATTTAAAGGAGAGGAAAATCAGTCAGAATAGAGCTGGAAGGGACCTCGGAGGCCTTCTAGTCCAACTCCTGCTCAAGCAGGAGACCCTATTGCAGACAAGTCACTGTCCAGCCTCTTCTTAAATAAACCTCCAGTGATGAAGCCCCCACGGCTTCTGGAGGCAAGCTGTTCCACTGGTTAATTATTCTCACTGTCAGGGAATTTCTCCTTAGTTCCAGGTTGCTTCTCTCCTTGATTAGTTTCCACCCGTTCCTTCTTGTCCTGCCTTCTGGTGCTTTGGAGAATAGAATTGACTCCCTCCTCTTTGCGGCAGCCCCTCAAAAACTGGAATGCTGCTATTCTTTTACTCCTAGCTCTTTTCTCTAGACTAGCCATGCCCAGTTTGTGCAACCGGGAAGCATTCATGCAAAGAGAAAAGCATGTATGCAAATCCTTTCAACACGATGAAGTAGTTCCCATAATAGGGAAATGACGGCATCTGAGAGGAGCCAAGAAGATGGCCGTTTGCTTACTCACCCTGGAGTGTTGCAATTTCCCCAGGACCAGCAGTTGGGCAGTAAATCGTGTGTTTGTACTTTACCAAGCCCGCCCCACTTCCAAAAAAAACCACACCACATTTCCTTAAACTGCTGGTTCATGGGCAGCCAACACAGTTTGTAGGAACTCCTGCCCCTTGTGGCGGGTGTAGTAAGGCTTGTGATCCCATTAAAACCATAACAATCAGGACCTTTAATTGTTGACCTTTAATGATGAGGGGACTGGAGACTAAAACATATGTAGAACAGTTACAGGAACTGGGCCTGGCTGTTTAGTGAAGGGAAGGACCAGGGGAGACATGATAGTGCTCTTTCAATATTTGAGGGGCTGCCACAAAGAGGAAGGGGTCAAGCTATTTTCTAAAGAACTCAAAGGCCAGACAAGGAATAATGGATGGAAACTGAACAAGGAGAGATTCAACCTGGAAATCAGGAGAAACTTTCTGACAGTGAGAACGATCAACCCATGGAACAGAAGTTGCCTTCAGAAGTTGTGGGAACGCCATCACTTGAGACCTTCAAGAAGAGATTGGACTGCCACTTGTCAGAAATGGTGTAGGGTCTTCTGCTTGAGCAGGGGGTTGGACTAGATAACCAACAAGGTCCCTTCCAACTCTGATTATCTGTTATCTGCAGAAACAGGGAAGTGGCTGGGATCTCAGAGAGAGACAGCGCTGGGTCTGGGTTCGTTGGGCTGTCTGATCAGGCTTGTGTTCCTGTGCAGGGCTATGGCGCTGATGGGTTGAAGCTGATCTCGCACGAAGAGAGCATTTCCTTTGGCGAATCAGTACTGAAATTGACTTTTGATCCCGGCACAGCAGCTGAGGACTTACTCACCGCGGAGTGCAGACTGGACCACCCCTTCTATGTTAAAAACAAAGGTAAAGGGGAACAAAAGAAAATGTTCTTTTTTTCATACATGGTAAGAAAAAACAAATGAACATTCTTATACCGCCACTAAGCCCAGAATTTCCATTGCTAAGTGAAACATTTGTTAAGTCTCATTTTATGACTTTTCTTGCCAATAAATCTGTTAAGTCAGTAACACAGTTGTTAAGCAAATCCAGCTTCCTCCACTGACGTTTTGCAACCTCCACTGAAGGTTGCAAAACATGACCCTGGGACACCACAACCATCATAAATATGAGTCAGTTGCCAAGCGTCTGAATTTTGATCACGTGACCACGGGGACACTGCAATGGTCGTTAGGTGTGAAAACCGGTCCTAAGTACTTCTTTCAGTGCCGTTGCAACTTCAAATGATCACTAAGCGAATCGTTAAGTCGACTATTTGTAATCAAGACATAAAAGAAGGAACAGTTTTAAGAATGCTCTTTATTATGGGGACAAAGTATTACAGGCAGTCCTCGACTTACGACCACAATGGAGCCCAAAATGTCTGTTGTTAAAGAGAAAAATTTGTTAAGTGAGTTTTGTCGCATCATCTTTTCTGCCACAGTTGTTAAGTGAATCACCACTGCAGTTGATAAGTAAGTCACCTGGTAGTTAAGCGAATCTGGCTTCCCCCATTGACTTGTCAGAAGGTTGCAAAGGGGGATCACATGACCCTGGGGATACTGTGGCCATCGTAAATGTGAGTCAGTTGCCAAGGGTCTGAATTTTGATCACATGACCATGGGGATGCTGCAATGATTGTAACTCTGAAAAATGGTCATAAGTCACATTTTTTTCAGTGCTGTGGTAATTTTGAACAGCCACTAAATTGAACAACTGTAAGTCGAGGACTACCTGTACTGAATTTGGAAAGTCCGCCATAGTTTTTTTCCCTTGAGCCATTTGACCCCCAGACCAAATCACAACAGAGTTCTTTTTGAGTTCCTTTCTTCAGCTTTACAGTTCCTCAGAATAGATGATCATTGCTAGTGATCTAGTCCAGGGGTCGCCAACCTTTTGGACCTCAGGGACCACCAAACTCATAATTTTAAATCCCGTGGACCACTAATATGAATTTTGACTGACGGTGGCTTGCTGACGTTTTCCCAAGGTCTCTGCAGAAAGCCTGCAAAAAAGTCTGCAGGAAAATTCCCCACCCCGTTTTCCTACCGATTGATCATTATTTGGGATCACAGAATACCGTCTCCAGCTCCGTTATCAGGGAGAGAGAGAGAGAGAGAGAGACTTTGGGCTTCATGCAAGGAAAGCAGCAGAAACAGCAGAAGTCTTTCTTTCTCTCCCCCAAACTCCGCCAGAAATGAGGCTTTGTAAGACTTGTCACGCTGGCACAGCCTCTTGGAGCAGGAGGCCTTGCAGGGTCCCAAAGACTCACTTCTGGCGGAGTTTGGGGGAGAGAAAGAAAGACTTCTGCTGCTTTCCTTGCGTGCAGCCAAAAGCAGAAGAAGAAAGAAGCGGAAAGAAGCAGCCTGGTGGCCAGGCCAGGCATGTGGGGCAAGTTCCCTCCTCTGTTCTTTCCCTTCTCCCCTCACTACCTCGAGTTGTTCACAATACAAGTGACATAAGCCTTGTGTTCCCGTGGGCCATGTGGGTGGCGCAGCCTTGTGTGGAAAATAGAAAAGGGAAAGGTGTATTGGACACATTTGCCACCTTGAGTTACAGTATTTGTAAAAATAATAAAGAGGGCGGTTTAAATAAAAAATAAATAAATTTCTTTGTTTTTCCCATTTCGAAGGCCAGATCTACATTATTTCACAGCTAAAAGTCTGCAGAGATTCTCAGTCCTCCAGCTCATGGTTGCCCCAAAGGGGCCTTTTTTTCAGGAGGCAACTGGACTTTCTTGCTTTTTTCTTTTGAAGACATTTCCCTTCTCATCCAAGAAGCTTCTTCAGCTCTGACTGGATGGTGAAGGAATATAAATCCTTCCATTTCCCCACCATTCAGTCAGAGCTAAAGAAGCTTCTTGGGTGAGAAGCGAAACATCTTCAAAAGAAAAGTCCAGTTGCCTCTTGAAAAAAGCCCCTTGAGTATTTCACAGCTGCTTTCTTCATTTTTGGCGAAGCCCGTCTCGTTTAAACATATCTGGATTGTGTCGTATCTAATCGTTTCTCTCTTTTTTTGTTCAGGTTGGTCTTCTTTCTATCCAAGCTTGACTGTGGTTCAGCATGGCATTCCATGTTCTGAAATGCACCTCGGTGATATCTGTCTACCTCGTGGACATCCTGAGGCCCTCAACTTTGACGATTCTGGTGTTTTTGATACATTCAAAAGGTAATTCTTGAAGCAGAGACATGATAATTCTGACTTTTTTTTCCCAAATATGTGAAATTCTGGTTTTGGCATACAGGAGATGTTTTTAAATGTAGAGTAAAAGCAAACAAATTGGATTATAATTCCTACATCCCTAAAATTAAGCTATTTCAGTTACTGCATAAGCTTTCTTTAAACCTGATGTTTTAAAGTAATACCGTTTTTAATTCTGTTTCTGGGCATATAATTTATTTAATTGAAAATTCTAGCTTTGCTTCTACTATCACTACAAATTATAGACTGATTAGCCTCCCTCCACTAGAGGGTGGAAGGCTACCATTTTAAGAGTAATTCCTGCAAATGTTATTTACTACTTCAGCTACAGTTCTGAAAGTAGCATAGGATTAATTTTGAGTTTAATCGTTCACTTAAAAGACTGCCGCATGAGTAGTAAATCTATATTGTTATGTGTGGGGGTGCACGGTGCTCTCTGAGCTTGATGATTTTCTTGCAGATGTTTCATTACCCAGGTGGGTAACATCATCAGGGTTACAAGGGAGTGGATTGTCAGTTTATATGCAATCAGTCTGCTAAGAACATTCCTACTACTGACAGGGCAAGCTACTAGAGTTCAAACCCCACTCCCATCTAGAGTGATGATATTATCTGGTTGGATCATGAAATGTCTGCAAGAAAACCATCAAGCTCAGAAAGCACCAAGGATGTCAGACCATTTGCAGCGTGATTGCTATTGTGAGACAACCCAGGAGCAAAACACAGCACACAGAGGCTTAGACATAAATAGCGGTTTATTTACAAGACATATACAGAAATATAAGTGGTAGGCAAAATATCTTACAAGTAAGCAATCTTCTTAACTCTACAGTGGAGATAGGACATGAGAGAGAAATACACCTTCTAATGACTGCCTTATATAAACATCTCTTAAAGTGGTAAAACTTCTGTGGACCCATACATAGTCTTAAAATGGCAATAACTTTGCTGATTCATCCTTATTGCATCAGCCTTACATTGCATCAGCCTTAGAGGAGCTGGTCAGCTCTTAAATCTCAATACCTTAATAAAGGACCCCCACAGTCCTCTCCTCCTCCTCCACTCTGTGAACCCCTTCTATCACTGATCATGTTACCTAGTTGGGTAATGAAATGTCTGCAAAATAATAACCAAACTCAGAGCACCAAGGACCCCCACAGTCCCCTTTCTCCTCCTCCTCCTCCATGCTGTGAACCCCACTCCCTTCTAGCACTTGTTGACATTACCTAGTTGGGTAATTAAAAGTCTGAAAGAAAACCACCAAACCCAGAGACCACCTAGGACCCTCACAGTCCAACAAATATTCCCTTCTATTGATACGACGTTAGGTACCATTTGAAGGTAAGCCCAGAATTGGTTTCTAAAGCAACCTTTCTTTTCAGTTACGATTTTACACCCATGGACTCCTCCGCGGTCTACGTGTTAAGCAGTATGGCTCGTCAGCGGCGGGCTTCTCTCTCCTGCGGGGGCTCTGGGAGCCCAGACTTTGAAAGATCCGATTGTGGGCCTACCCAGTCCATGCAGACGTCCTCCATGTACAGCAAATCTGGCAAAAACCACCACTCAGGGACTGCCAGTACTGTTAGTGCCACTTCTCCCAACAAATGCAAAAGACCAATGAATGCCTTCATGCTTTTTGCCAAAAAATACCGAGTAGAATATACTCAGATGTACCCAGGAAAAGATAACAGGTAAGGAGCCCCTGAATTCTGATTTCTATACAAAATTCATGCTACTACAGGTAAAACTAAAAGTTATGATTTGTTGTCAGTGCCTTATTCTACTGTAACAGACTGTCAGAAGCCAATGTTTCTGTTTCTTTTTCTTTGCCTATCCTTCCTCACTTTTCTTTCCCCCTTTCCCTTCTCCTCTTATTTGTTTTTGTATTTTGTATTTTATAATACCTTATAATTTAAGATTAAAAAAATTTAAGAAACATTTAATTTTAAAAAAATTAAGAAAAAAAAGAAAGAAAAAACATGCTGAGGATAGTGCTGAAGTCTTTCCTGGATGTATTCTCCCCACCCCAAACACAGAGGAAGGGAGGGAAGGAAGGAAAGGAAGGAAGGAAAGAAGGAAAGGAAGAAGGGAAGGAAGGAAAAAAGGAAAAGAAGGAAGGAAAGAATGACAGGAAGGAAAGAAAGAAAGAAATAGGGAAATTTAACATTTTACTGCTGGCTTGACCTGACTCTTCCCCCCATCTATTTCTTCTGCAGAGCCATAAGTGTGATACTTGGGGACAGGTGGAAGAAAATGAAAAATGAGGAAAGGCGGATGTATACCTTAGAAGCCAAGGCCTTGGCTGAAGAACAAAAGCGTTTGAATCCCGATTGCTGGAAACGGAAACGAACAAATTCAGTACGTGGCCTTTCCATTCTTGCCATTTCCTAGATACTCTCTTGGTCCTTAAGAGTCCTTGTAGAACGGGGGGCCCAACCCACCCACCCCCCTCCAGTCCGTGGATAAGCCCCGAGCCACAGCATGCCAGCAACCGGTCCACGCCAACAAATGAAGCCCCATCTGCAGGTTGCAGGCAGCACATGAAACCACGCTCCCCCCACTCCCCGGTCTGTGGGAAAGCCCCTCTCTGTGGCACCAGGCTGGGGATCCCTGTTGTAGAGGAAACTGGTAATAAAACCCAATAGGATTTCCAATGAAATATCCAGATCTACTAGAAGGAGATTCCCCTCCTCCCTCTGTTCAAGGGGATCCACTTTGCCGTAAATTTGCTGTATGGTCCCAGAGAAAGAGTAACACCAGTAGGGTTATTCCAGGATACACACAAAAAGTAGATAACGGACCACTCCAGAGTCTATTCTAATCCTTGCTGCACTCTACTGGATAGTAGTTTCTAGAAGGCAGCAATGCCAGCCTTTTGACAGATGCTAGCTAGGCTAGTTCAGACTTCTGACAAGGCACTAGTTCAGCATTATGACAATCAATTTCACTTCCTTGGCTCACACACATGCACAAGGTAAAATCAGAGTCCCTGGGGATTTTACTCTGCGAGAAATTGCCACCACACTTAATCATATAGTGGCTTTTAATTCATTGAGGCCAACAACCTGTATTTCTGTAAAGAAATTAGATTGGAAAAAATTAGATTTCTCTTTAAAAAAGATAAAAGATAAAAATAGTTGGTCAGTCCACTTGTAAGCCGTTGCTTTAATTCTACCCCAATCCAAGGAGATGCTTATAAATACAGGTAGTCCTCAACTTGCAACCAGAACTGATATGGCTGAATGAGAAATTTTGTGAAGTGAGTTACGCCCCCATTTTACGACTTTTCTTTGCCACATTGGTTAAATCACTGCAGTCGATAAATCAGTAACCCAGTTGCTAAGTGAATTTGGCCTCCCCGTTGACTTTGCTTGTCAGAAGGGGATGATGTAACCCCTGGGTCACTGCAACCGTCATAACTATGAATCAGTTGCCAAGCGTCTGAGTGTAAATCGCGTGATCATGGGGACAGTGCAATGGTAAGTGTGAAAAACAGTCATAAATAACTTTTTTTCAGTGCCGTTGTAACTTCAAATGGTCACTAAGTAAACTGTTGTAAGTAAAGGGCTACCTGTTGTTGAAATTTCACCTCTTACCTCCACCCATGACTGAGTTTTTGACTCACTTATAGAGAACAGTCATCGTAGTCTGAAATACTGCTGGTATTCAGTGCACAGGAGTGCAGGTTTTTTTATACTGTATTTTGTTGTTTTAATTTAATAAAGATAGTTTTAAAAATATGCTAGGATGTATGTAACCTTCACGAAATTCCAATCTCCCAAAGTATAAATACTCTGGAAGATAACTATTAATATGCATTTGTTTAATAGGTAAAACCTGACTCAACCTTTCCTGATTTGGGATGAATCCATGCCAGTTGTTACAATATTGTTTAAAACGGGTTGCTAACCTTTTGGACCTCAGGGACCACCAAACTCATAATTTTAAATCCTGCTGACCAGAGACCCCAGGAAAATCCCCAAAAACAGTTTGCAGGAAAATTCCCTACCCCGTTTTCCTACCGATCAGTCATTCTTTATTTGGCATCACAGGATACCATCTCCAGCTCTGTTCTCAGAGGGAGGGAAAGAGAGAGACACTTTTGGATTCATGCAAGGAAAGCAGCAGAAGCAGCAGAAGTCTTTCTTTCTCTCCCCCAAACTCTGCCAGAAATGAATCTTTGCCGGCGCAGCCTCTTGGAGCAGGAGGCCTTGCAGCATCCCAAAGACTCGTTTCTGGCAGTTTTTGGGGAGAGAGAGACTTTTGCTGCTTTCCTTGCGTGCAGCCAAAAGCAGAAGAAAGAAACGGAAAGAAGCAACCTGGTGGCCAGGCAAGTCCCCCCCCCCCCCCCCCCCCCCTCCCTTCACTACCTGGTGTTGTTCGCAATGCAAGTGACAAAGGCCTTGTGTTCCCATGGGGCATGTGGGCGGAACAGCCCTGTGTTCCCACGCAGCCCGGATTGATAGCTTTGGGGGTGACATTTCTCTGCAGACCACCAGTGGTCCCCAGCCTGCTGGTTGGCGACCCCTGGTTTAAAATACTGGTAGTCCTCAACTTACAACAGTTCATTTAGTGATCATTTAAAGTCACAACAGCCCTGAAAAAAGTGATTTATGATCACTGGAGTTTCCCCATGGTTGCATGATCAAAATTGGACAGTTGGCAACTAAGTCACATTTATGACGGTCGCAGCATCCCAGGGTCATGTGACAAACACCCCCCCCCTTTTGTGATCTTTCCAATAAGCAAAGTCAATGGGGAAGCCAGATTCACTGACCTTAATTTTAACCAACTGGAGCGATTCACTTTAACAACTGTGGCAAGAGAGGTCGTAAAACGGGGCCAAATTCACTTAACAGCCTCCTCGCACTCAGCAATGGAAATGTCGGGCTCCACCGCGGGCCTTACGAGGTCAAGGACTACCTGTGATTTACTAAGTGCCCAACCTGCGAGCGTGCTCTTGACACCCACTTCCATGGTTTTGGCTGCAAGAAAATTGAATCCAGAACAAGTGAAATTTAATTCGTATTTCCACGAACAAAACTTCCTGTGTCTTTAAATGGGTGTTTTTTTCCCATCTGTCTTCCTTCCCAGGGGTCTCAGTAGCATCAAGATGGAACTTGAATAAATCCAGGGTGATGGGAAGACACGATCAAGGTTTCGTGATTTGGTGTGGCGGTGTGGCTGTAATACACTGGCATCGTTGGAGTCACTAAGGAATGAAGTTTTGCTTATTACAAGTAGAGCATTAAGCAAGCTAAGAGTATCAACATTTAAAAAAACAAAAAAACCAAATTGCCTTACATATATATTTTATTTTTCCCTTCCAAACTACATTATATGTCTATCAGGTGTAATAGGCTTGAACATGGATATCCTGTGGTGCTAAGGAGAATAGTAGGAAGAAGAGAGGAGCTTTGTATAAAAAGTTTCATTTTCTAAGGAAAAAAAAATTGCACAAAAAGGGTGCAGTTTGAAACATGTAACATCTGTTTATAGGACAATTTTTATTGCTGATTAATACGTATTGCACAAACTTATGTAATTAAACTACCAATTTTGCAAGCTGGAATCTTCTGACATATAATAGATATATATATATGAACTTCTAGTTTGCCCGGTGCCAACAGAAATATCAGAATATGTGGCAAAGCGAATAGTATATATAATGTACGCTATATGTAGCAAATTGTTGTCTATATGGGAAAGTGTCACATATTTTGGGTGTGATAACTTTAGTAAAATGAAAGGCTGGTGAGAAGCCTGAGCTGCATTAAAAAAGATTAAACCCACAAGCAGATTGCATTGTTCAAGAGGAATGGTGCTTTCATAATTCTTTCATTTAATGTTAATTTTTTTTCCTATGCTGCGTATTTTAAAAGATTTTATTTTGCCATAAGACATCATTTATGGTGGGGACAAACCTTGCACTTATTTTCGGTGCAATATTTGCACTTTACTTCCCCCTCTCCCCCTTTCATCTATCTAAAAAATAGAGCAGATATATATATTCGATTAATGGCTATTTTTGCTGTGAACATTTAGAACATAGCTTTTAATATTACTAAATAGTGTGTTTCTGTCAAGAAATCACAAGAAATTTCAGCACCTGATATGTACGTCTCTACGTGTTGCTCCTATGATTTTGCACACTGTATTCTTGTATTATTTCAAAATAAATTGTAAAAAATTATTCTTGTATATTTTTCTCTATATAAAAATATATGAAGCATCACAGTACAGTCTTGTGGATTGATCTTACTGATTGCCTAATTGAAGGAATGCTTGAAAAGAAGGGCTGGTAGAAATATTTTAATTACATTTCCAATTATAACGTACATACAACATCACACTGATGTAATCTGAAATTTCATAAATCAACATAAAATATGTATATATACATGTGTGTTTGTGTGTGTGTGTGTATATACCAACAGTTGGTGAAAAGAAAATATTAAATCCAAGCAAATTTTTTCCTCTTGTCGATTTAAGATTAGCTTGTTTTACCAACGCAGAAATAAAGCCTTTTCGAATAGAAGTGTTTGATTTTAAATTAAAACCATAAAATATTTTTTAAAAAACCTCTTGGGAAAAAAGGGTGAGATACACAGAATGCATTCGAGGAAGAAAGTCAAAACAGGCTGTGGATTGTGGAGCAAGTTGGAGATGCTACTCGTAGGAACTCAGAAGTCTACCGTGTGGGTTGATCAGGGACTTCCGATGTTTTGCAGAAAAAAACATTTACTGAACGGAGCTCAGTCCCTTCTGAAGAAGCTGCACCATGACGGGATAAACGGGGGCAAATTCTTTCCCTTCTCTGCTTCTTACTGATTGAACATAAGCTTCCAGGGCTCCCCTGCTTAAAGAGAAAATATACTGGAATTAAACTTTATTTTCTTCTCATTATAAAACTAACAATACCGTAGCTTTCAAAAGGATCGTTTCTTTATTGCTTAGGTCTTAAATGGCTGACCTTATCAAACCCTATCATGTCTCTCTCTCCTCTCTTTCTCTTCCCTCTTTTCTCTCGTTTCTTCTCTCTCTATTCCCTCTTCTCTCTCTATTCCCTCTTTTCTGTCTTTTTCTCCTCTCAATTCCCTCTTCTCTCTATTCCCTCTCCTCTCCTCTCTCTATTCCCTCTTTTCTCTCTTTTCTCCTCTCTCTATTCCCTATTCTCTTTTCTCCTCTGTCTCTATTCCCTCTTTATTCTCTCTCTTCTCTTCCTCTTCTCTCTGTTTTTGTGTGTGTGAGTGCAGATAGTCCTCGACTTATGACCACAGCTGAGCCCAACATTTCTGTTGCCAAGCAAGACATTTCTTAAGTGAGTTTTGTCCCATTTTACAATCTTTCCTGCCCTGGTTGTTAAGCGAATCATTGCAGTTGTTAAAGTGAGGAACATGGTTGTTAGGTGAACCTGACTTCTTCACTGACTTTGGGAATGGACATTGGAATAAGACGCATTCCGTTCATAACTTCCCAGGAAATCGTAAGTTTTCCAAGGAAATGAATACCTGTGCAAAGAGAATTACAACCTTATTCTCTGAGTTAAGTGAATCGCTGCAATTGTTCAATTAGTAACCGGGTCATTAGCGAATCTGGCTTCCCCCTTGACTTGGCTTCTCAGAAGATTGCAAAAGGGGATCACTAGGACACTGCAACCGTCATAAATGCGAGTCAGTTGTTGAGCATCCGAATGTAAATCACGTGAGCATGGGGATGCTGTAGAGGTCATAGTTGGGAAAAACGGCCCTAACTCACTTTTTAAAAAATGTTGTAACTTTGAACATTCACTAAGTGAACAGTTGTAAGTAGAGGACTGCTGTATCAATGTAGCTATAATTAATTCTTCCCAGAAAGCCAGCAAGTTTGCTTTAAAATGTACACCAATCTTATCTTCCTAGTCTAATCTATCCAGAATAGGCAAGGAAGATGAAGATGTTTATCAAAAATGAGACTGAAATATTCCTAAATTAACCCCCCAAAATAAAATATGTCTGACCGTATTAAAATGAGTCGCTCTTTCTCTGCCGGATGGTCATCGAGCCACCGCGAGTAACGGGCAATGGTCCAGTCTGCTCTCTATAATTAATAAATAAAATAATAATCTCTATGTTTAAAAGAGAAATACCACTCATGCATCATCACAAAATCTCCAGAACTGTAAAGCCTACAAACTTGAAATTTGGCACGTAGGTTCCTCTTGGCTCCTAGGGGCTCACTAAGAAAGGATTTTTCCAAATGACCATCAGAGCATTAGAATTTCCTATATTATTATTATTAACAAGCTCTGATGCTAAGGAGTTCTACTTCCCCTCCCCACCTGAAAAGAAATCTCTTCCAAATACAAAACACAAGCAGAGGAGTTTCAGAGCACCAAGCAGCTTTAGTAGAGAACAGTTGAGCTAAACCATGCCAGAGCTCCTTGCTGTCTCCTTCCTCACAACAAATACTGCTTCAGTTTCCAAACAGCCCTCAACTCTCACACACTGACAGGATGCTAGCTAGATGAATACTGATGGATGCTAGTAGGCAGAGGCACAATTTTTTCCCCTTGTTTTCCTCCCCCCAAAACTAAGCCTGATCACGTAATTCGCATGGGTATCGAGCTAGTAAATAATAAATTGAAAAGGCTTATTAGTGACACAATGTTGTGTGCCAGTCGCTCGCTTGTATGCCTGCATCTGTGATACAATGTGTGCGTGCCTCCCCCGTCCCCCCTGCGGATGTGCATGTAATCCCCTATGTGAGCACCGTGTGCCTCTGCGCAGGTGCGCTTGACCCCTCTGCATGCGCACAACCCCGCTGCATGCCGCATGCCTCTGCCTATGCATGTGCCTCCTACGTGCACATGTGTGGCAGATACCTGACAAGCGGCTGGCGGGGGGTGCGCGCATATACAGTGGGGCTCTTCCGGGCGACCTCTCATGTGCCGCCAGAAGTGGCTCTATTTGCCACTTCTGGCATTCATGCCACAGCTTACCAACATGCGCCTATAAGGGTCAGCAACCTGCGGCTCTAAAGCCGCATGTGGCTCTTTCATCTGCTGCAGCTCCCTGTCGCTCAAAATATGTGTCACAGCCGCCAATGTATGTGACAGTCATGATTTATTGAGCTTTTCAGCTCCTGGTAGGCCAACCCATGGGTAAATCCAAGAAAAGTAAAGTTTCAGAAGAAAACAGAATGCTTAATTCAACTACATATGCTAGTTTTGTGGCCGTTCAGGAAGTAGGCGCGGGAAGGATTTTGTGGCTGCTGGTGTTTTGTTTTGTGTGGGAAACGGATTCCAATGGCTCTTTTGAGTGTTTAAGGTTGCTGAGCCCTGGCCTATAAGGTGTCACAAGGCTTTGTGGGGTTTTTTTTGCTGCCACAGCCTAACACAATTGCCTTTCCAAACGGTGAATAAATGTTTCCTGATGGGCTTTCATTCCATATTCAGGGTTTCCTCTCCTTATTTCTGAACTTGTGATCGTAACGATGTTTACTATCAACATCCCACATTAACGTATTAGGAATATTCTACTGTTGGAAGTTGAAATGGAGCAGAAAATGACTGAATTGTTCATTTCATACTTTGAAAAGTGGCTTGCTCCTTCAGGTGCTCAAGTCGCTCGTCCCACAATTCAGGCAGGCCTTGACTTAACGACCATCCTGAAGCGCAAACATTTCTGCAGTTTAGCGAGATGAAGTGAGGGTGAAGTGAGTTTTGCCCCATTTGGTGACCTTTGTCACCTCAGTTGTTAAGTGAATCACTGCAGTTGTTCAGTGAGTAACCTGGTTGTTAAGTGAAGCTGGCTTCCCCATTGGCTTTGCTTGTCAGAAGGTCGTAAAAGGAGATCATGTGACCCCGGGACACTGCGACCATCATAAATATGAATCGGTTGCCAAACATCTGAATTTTGATCATGTGGTCATAGGGATTGTAACCGTGAAAAACAGTAGTAAGTCTATTTTTTTCAGTGCCATTGTAAGTTTGAACGGTCACTAAATGAACTGTTGTAAGTCCAGGAGTACTTGTATCAGGAATTTCTCCTCTGTCACAGGTGTTAAGAGTTTGCAGCATAAATTCCACATCCAGAAAACACACAGATGACTGATTCAGCAGGATCCTAAACTTCTTTATAAACATAATAATATGAGTGAAGTTTACAATACCATTTATAGATTCTTTCAAAGTAATGTAAGCAAAAACACAAGCAGCAGCTCAGAGGACTCAGAACAGATTACTTTCAGTCAGCAAGCAGGTCAGTTTCGCTTTCACTTCTCAGCAAAGCACACAGAGCCAAACCAAACCCAGGCTGTCAGCTCCCATTGGCTGGTCTGTTGCCATGCTTACTTTGTTAACCATGTCTCTGCCAGTTAATGAATATACTCTGACAAAAGGCAATCGGTGATGAACACATAAGGTACTGGTTCAGGCAACTGGAGAGAAATGGGTCTCCCCATGTTGGTGTCACACATGTAGTACTCGATTTATAGCAGTTCATTTAGTTACAATGGCACTGAAAAATGTGACTTACAACTGTTTTTCACACTTACAACCATTGCAATATCCTCATAGTCACGCAATCAAAATTCAGACAGACGCTTGACAACTGACCCATATGTATGTTTGCAGCGTTCCAGAGTTCACGTGATCCCCTTTTGCAACCTTCAGACCAGTGAAGTCATGGGGGAAGCCAGATTCACTTAACAACTATGTCACTAACTGAAGAAAGTTAGGGGTTCAATCAACAAGGTGGCTCTCTCAAAAGGTTGTTCAATGGGGCAAAACCCTCTTCGACAAAATGTCTTGCTTCGCAGCAGACATTTTGGGCTCAGTTGTGGTCGTAAGTCGAGGACAGCCTGCATTTTGTACAAAAGATTTGCACCGTCATGTTACCTGGAAAGGGGACTTCAATTCGGTTGGCGCCCTCGTGAATAAGAACTGGATGACGGTGCTGTATGCAATGACGTCTCCCACCGCTGGGCTGTTGGAGATATGCTCGCTTGTCTGGAAGAGCATTGGTCTGCGGGAGGAGGAAGCATGATGGCGAAGAGATCAGAACATGAAGGCTTTGGAACAATCGAGTAGCAGAAGGCTGATCATGGTGGATGGCGGAGTTACTGTAGAACTGGGCCACAGAGGACCCATTTAGAAGACCTCCAAGCTCCCTGCCAACTCTGTTATTCTATTCTGTAGAAGCTAAGTTTCGTTTCCACAACTATGCAGCATAGTGTCATGCCCCTGTCAGAGTCTGAATCCGAGGAGGAAGATGAACAGCTGACAGGGAGTGGGAATGTGGCTCTGTTGGCTGTGGAGGAACTGGGGAAGGGCAAAGTCCGGCTGGGCAGAACAGGAGAGAGGTAGAACAAGGGAGAGGGAGTTCAGAGGAAGAACCAGACCCACCCCACTCTTCATCCTAGGGCACACAGGGAGGAATGGAGAAGGGAGCAACGTGGGTTGCATGGCTTACGGGGGGAGGAAAGGGCCCTGATTCCCTTCATTAGCCACAACTGGGAAGAGATTTTAAAAGAGATGCATGGTGAGTGTGGCATCTGCAGGGAACAAACATGAGTTTATCTTGTGTTGACTTTGCATATCTGTAATCCTGGCATCTTCCCAACCGTGTTGAGTTATTGCTGTACCTTCACGTCTGGAATTCTTACTGCTGCCCTGACGGACTAATTACCTCATTTTGCCTTGATTGGACTTAGAGTTACAGTTTTTGTTGACCACGTTTTGGACTTAATTCCCTGCAGCCACAGGCTGTTCCTGTGAGAGTTTTTCTTCAGCCCAGAAAGTAACCAGGACATTGGGGGCAAAGTTGGAGCTAATAAAGGGACTCCGACTGATTGACTGTGTTGCCTTTGTGCCATGCCCCTTTGGGTCATCAGACATAGTCTTATTGTGTAAGAAGGGACCTTGAAGGTCTTCTAGTTCAACCATCTGCTCATGTAAGAGACCTTCTATCAGGGGCAGTGGTGGGATACTCCCGGTTTGGGCAAACCTCCAGCTCTGACAATCAGCTGTTGAGCGAACCAGTTCTCTCTGATAATTAAGTTGGTCCACCCACTTGCCCCTGCGCTGTACTTCCCTATATCCTCTCAGCTGATTCACGCAACAAAGCGGATTGCCGCGTCTCAGCTGTATTACTTCCCAGAAGTAACATAGAAGGTAAGTAATTTTGAAAACTGCCCAGGTGCGTGAAGTGCGCGATCACTGATCCAGTTGTTAAACTGCAGCATCCCACCACTGATCAGGGGTGTCAAACTCAAGGCCCGTGTGCCAGATCCGGCCTGTGGAGTGTTTAGATCTGGCCCACAGGGCCGCCCTGGAAATAGTGAAGGACTAGACTGGCCAATGGTGCCTCTTGCCAGCAAAAACGGAGCTCAGGAGGGCTGCCTGCGCTTGCAGAGGCACTACAGGAGATCATTGTGGCTGAAAATGGAACCTCGATGAGTGACAAGAGCTGGCCCCGCCCACTCTGGCCATGCCCCCCCAGCCCCCGATGTGGCCCTCAATGAAATCAAGTTTGACGCCCCTGTTCTAGAGTCTGTCATCTGTATCTCTATAACTGTCTGGTTCGGTTGTGTAACCCAACAGGGCAGACACAGACTTCAGAGGATAATTAGGACTGCGAGACAAAACAATTACTACCAACCTGCCTTCCATGGAGGACCTGTATCCTGCACCCTGAGTCAAAAAGAGGATTGTGAAAATATTTACAGACCCCTCACATCCCGGACACAAGCTGTTTCAACTCCTACCCTCCAAATGACGCTACAGAGCCCTGCACACCAGAACAACTAGACACAAGGACAGTTTTTCCCCAAACGCCATCACTCTGCTAAACAAATAATTCCCTCAACACTATCCAACTACTGTATTTACAAAGTCTGCACTATTATTACTATTAATCTTCTCACCACTCCTTATCATACATCTCCTCCCACTTGTGACTTTATGACTGTAACTTTGTCGCTTGTATCCTAACGATTTTAATTGACTGTTTCCTAATATGATTTGATTGCTTATTGTACCCTATGACTATTAAGTGTTGCACCTGATGATTCTTGACTAATGTATTTTTTTCTTTTTATGCACACTGAGAGCATTTGCACCAAGACAAATTCTTTGTGTGTCCAATCACACTTGGCCAATAAAGAATTCTGTTCTAGAAGGTTCTATTGATTATCATCCATTTCCAGAGTTTGAGTTTTGCCCCTAATGATACTTAACTAAGAGGAAACGCAGCATGCCACCATTTGCTCATTTGCTTGGGCGGGACGTCATACACCCTCTGTTTTCAAATTCAAGTGGGTGATTGTTTGCAGCAACAGCTTCTTATTTTAATTAAGCCCTCCTCTGCCACCCCTGTTATAAATTCTCAGCTTCTAAGAGTGGGGAAAAAAGGTGGAGGGAGCCCTTCCTGGGACTGCGACAGCTTATTAACGCAAGAGGCGAGATTAAAAAATAAATAAATAAATCAAAAAGAAAAAAAAAGATACAATTGAGCTGACAATTTGCACGGCAAAATTTCCCTGTGTTTTAGTCACACACTGAATAAAACCTGAAAGTGGGGGAGGGAAATAAAAGATAATTGGTTGCTCATTTACATGGGATGCTTGCCAGAGGATTTTAATTAAAGCCTGCAAAAGTGAGAAGCCTCTGATTTTCTTCTTCTTCTTCTTCTTTTGTTGTTGTTGTTAATGAAAACAACTAAATCACAGTCTCAGCTATTGAAGCATCACTTACCTGAATGATCTTAAGAGTTTGTAGGATTTTCCCAGGTCAGAGACGCGTCTGCAAAGGGGTGCCACGGCTAACTCCATCTGCAAGAGGAAATCGCTTGGCTTTAATCTGCTAATACGATTTATAAAATTTATAAATTATACATTTATAATGTGGCTTATTGATGAATGTATTTTTGCGAGGTCTATGATCATGAATTATCGCTTATTCCTTGTGTATGTCTAATCACACTTGGACAATAAAGAATTCTATTCTGTTTTGTTCTTACCGTCCTGTTCTGTCCTATTCTATTCTCTGTTCTATTCTGTTCCATTCCACTCCATATTTTCTATTCTATCTAATAATTCTAATTCTATATTTTATATTCTATAAAATTAGAACTCCCCATCTCCTAGTGATTGGCCCAAAGTCACCCAGCTGACTTTCATGGATAAGGCAGGACTAGAACTCACAGTCTGCTGGTCATTGGCCCAAAGTCACCCAGTTGGCTTTCATACATAAGGCAGGACTAGAACTCACAGTCTCCTGGTCATTGGCCCAAAGTCACCCAGTTGGCTTTCATACATAAGGCAGGACTAGAACTCACAGTCTCCTGGTCATTGGCCCAAAGTCACCTAGCTGGCTTTCATGAATAAGGCAGGACTAGAACTCCCTATCTCCTAGTGATAGACCCAAAGTCACCTAGCTGGCTTTCATGGATAAGGCAGAACTATGACTCAATGTCTCCTGGTCATTGGCCCAAAATCACCCAGTTTGCTTTCATGATTGAAGCGGGACTAGAACTCCTGGTCTCCTGGTTTCTAGTCCATTGAGAAGAACTGGTCTCCCACACAGGGAAGCAGAGAGAGATTTTAGGGAAACATAGCTCTTCCTCCCTTCAATCTCCAATGTGGAGGCCAGTTCAACAAAAGCAAGATCCGCTTGGCGAGACGGAGCAAATTTTCATAGCATCCCAAATAAGAAGTGTATTTGTGGATTAAAACCCATCGAGTTTGTTACGCCTCTTCTACTATAGGGTACACTTTGCAGAGACTGCCATGCTAAATATCTGACACCTCTTCTGCTGAAATTCCCAGGCCATTTGGAACAATTTTACACGTCCTTGTTCCTGCTAGACAAAAATGAGTCTATCGCGCGTAATGTGGCAAAACTGTGTACGACACAGCACACTGGGTTTGACAATGTCTAACATCAGCTTTTCTAACAGCTGGTGACCGACAAATGGGCATAAAATTTAGCTCTTACCTGTCCTGTAATGAACAATTCATAACATAATGAACAATTTTTATGTTGCCATTTTTAAAAGCTTTTTTTTTTAAAGGAATGATCGAACCTTCCTGTCTGTATTTGCTCCATTATTAACAAATTAGCTGGGTACCCGTGCTTCGCTACGAAACGATGTGGTCAGGCTTAGTTTGGGGGGAGGAAAATAAGGGGGAAAAAAATTCTGCCTCTGCCTACCAGCATCCATCGGTATTCATCTGGCTAGCATCCTGTCAGTTTGTGAGAGAGTTGAGGGCTGTTTGGAAACTGAAAGCATATTTGTTGTGTGAGCAAGAAAAAACAGCAAGGAGCCTGGGCGTGGCTTAGCTCAACTGTTCTGTACTAAAGCTGCTGGTGCTTGAAACTAAAACTGACACTCCTCTCCTCTGCTTGTGTTTTGCATTTGGAAAAGATTTCTTTTCAGGTGGGGAGGGGGAGCAGAACTCCTTAGCATCAGAGCGTGTATAATAATAATAATAATAATAATAATAATATGCAAAATAATAAAGCTCTGAGGGTCATTTCGAAAAATCCTTTCTTAGTGAGCCCCCAGAAGCCAAGAGGAACATATGGGCCAAATTTCAAGTTTGTAGGCTTTACGGTTCTGGAGATTTTGTGATGATGTGTGAGGGGTATTTCGCTTTTATATAGATAGATACCTGAACAAATTCAGCATTTCAGATTGTCTCTGTGCCTCAAGCCAGCTTCCCATTATGAGGTCGTGCTCCATTCAAGAAACCGTTTTGCGACAAACACACAAAACGGACACACACCTCTGGTGTGGCTGGAATGTTGCACGTGAGAGCTGTAGTATTTATTAGAGTAGACACTAAATATTAGAGTAAAGTAGATAGAGAAGTCCTCAATGTACGATCACAGTTGGGCTCAAATTTGACCCCTTCTGACCAGCAAAGTCAATGCAGAAGCCAGATTCACTTAACGACTGCTTGGTCCTCAACTTACAACATTTGTTTAGTGACTGTTCACAGTTGCAACGGCACTGAAAAAAAGTGGCAGGATCGTTTTTCACACTTATGAACCATTGTAGCATCCCTGGAGACATGCAATTTAGACTGACTTGGCAACTGACTCGTATTTATGACGGTGGCAGTGTCCCCGGGGTTGTGTGATGCCCGTTTGTGACCTTCTGACAAGAAAAGACAATGGGGGAAACTGGATTTCACTTAACAACCATGTGACTAACTTAAGAGCTGCAGTGATTCACTTAACAATTGTGGCAGGAGAAGTCGTAAAATAGAGCAAAAACTCACTTAACAAACAAATCTTGCTTAGCCGCATCAATTCTAGGCTGAATTGTGGTCGTTAAGTTGAGGACTAATCGTCCTAACTCAACAACTGCAGTGTGTCAGGCAGTTACTCCCATTTAAATCATGAGTCTCGAGCCAAAGTTCCAAAACTTCCAAAGGATTTATTGGGAGTAAACATGCTGGCATTGCCTGGGTGTAGCTGATTCTGAGACACATCATTAATTGCCATCCTTGACCCTGTTCCCCCCCCACCCCCCGGGTGTATCGTAATTCATATTCTCCAATGGGACACATCCATAGCCAAAAGTCTCTCCCATTAGAATTCTACACGGCAGAAACTTCAGTCACCTAGTTGCTATCATTGAAAACATTTATGGAATGCAGTTTCGATTTGCAAGCTGCCGCACTGCTTCCCTCTCCCTTTCTGTTGGCAACTCAAAAAAGATCCGAGAAATATTTTATGAGTTGAAACAGTGGTTCACTTAAAATATGTGGCAGGAAAGGTCGTAAAATGGGGCAAAAACCTCACTGAACAAATGTCTCACTTAGCCACATCAATTCTGGGCTGAATTGTGATCAAAAGTCGAGGACTTCCTGCATTTTAACAAAAAGTATAGACCAGATGTTCTTTCATTGGCCCTAGCCAAAAATATATATATTTTAAACTCAATCCCCAAACCTTTTTCATTTTTCTTTGCATTTTTTTTCTTCCCCTTCAAGGAAAAATAATTCATCCAATTCCCCAACTTGTTAGCATTATTACTGCTGTGAGTACAAGAGGCAGGATGTAAGAGTCTAGCAAATATTAAATTCTGACAAATCTGGAATCTGTTTTCATTCCAACCAACAGCGATGAAATTACTTTTTGTGGTCAAAGAACATCTATATTTTTCTCGGCTAAACTCAGATCCATTGCCTGATTGCATTTTTGTGCCAGATAATATGTGTGTGTGTGTGTGTGTGTGTGTGTGTGTGTGTGTGTAAAAATCTTTGCTTTTCTTTCATCTGTTTCTGCCTCCATCGTGCTCACATTTCCTTCTTTTGATCGTACAGAACCATCTGGCATTTAAAGGGCAAAAATATTATTCCCCAACTAACCCAACTTAAAATGCTCCAAATTACGGTAACCTTCGTGCACTTGGGGTTGTTTTTTTTTTGTTATTCAGCGACAACGATCCTCATAATGAACAGGTTGTAAGGTGCAACAATTCCGAGATAATGCCCAGTGGTATATATAAATGTCAAGGAAATGTCATTTAAAATTATCTCACTGACCTCAGGGAAATCTTTTTAGTCCAGCCAATATATACTGTACTGAGGGTGAAAACTGAGCCATTTATTTGGGCATAAATGATTGTTATTGCCTTTCAGTTTTAGCTTACTATGTGCTTAAATATAATCATCTTGCTTTGTAACTGTGGGCTTATAATTTGCTTTCTTCACATGGTTTCAATAAGAAAACCCCAAATATATGTTAATGTATTTGTATGCATTCTTGCATATGTAGTTTCCACCAGAAAACAATCCGTATTTATCTAATCACATGGTCAATAAACTGTTCTGTTCTGTTCTATTCTTATTCTGCATTCTATTCCTATTTCTATTCTACTCTATTTTATTGTATTCTGCATTCTATTTCTAATTCTGTTCTATTCTATTCTATTCTATTCATTTTTATTCTATTCCATTCATTTCCTATTCTATTCTATTCTATTCTATTCTATTCTATCCTATCCTATCCTATCCTATCCTATCCTATCCTATTCCATTCCATTCATTTCTTGTTCTATTCTATTCTATTCTATTCTATTCTATTCTATTCTATTCTATTCTATTCTATTCTATTCCATTCATTTCCTATTCTATTCTATTCTATTCTATACTATTCTATTCTATTCTATTCCATTCCTTTCCATTCCATTCCATTCCATTCCATTCTATTCTTATTCTTATTCTATTCCATTCATTTCTTATTCCATTCCATTCCTATTCCTATTCCTATTCCTATTCCTATTCCTATTCCTATTCTATTCTATTCTATTCTATTCTATTCTATTCTATTTTATTCTTATCCCTATCCCTATCCCTATCCCTATCCTTTATTCTCTATTTTCTTCGGCCTGGTCTATCCAATGTGAAGAGAAAACAGGCCAGCAGTTTGGGAAGTGGCATCAAGCGGAAGAGGGGCGGGGCACTCTCCTCCCAAGTAGCCGGCTCGGTCTGCGCTGTTCCCACCTTCTCTCCACTTTCCGTGCTCGGGGATCAGGAGGGGGCGGTCCTTGTTCATCGCCTGAGCTCTGTCTCTCATGTTCACTGCTTAGCCCCTCCTGGTCAGACTGCCCCCGCTTCTTCCCTTTCTACAAACCATCCCAATCCTGAAAGGCCCTGGCCTGACTTGGCCTGCTCCTGGCCCCACCTGCCCAGTGAGTGGCATCAAGCTGGCCACACCCACCCAATCGGTCACTCCCACCCAGGTCCCTGAGGTCAACCACAGCCCTGATTTGGCCCTCAATGAAATCAACCCCTTGAGGGGGGGGCAGGTTGGATTAGAAGACCCTGTTATCACTGTGGAGTCAACCTTAACCCCGCGTGGAACCAGCGAGTCGTGTTTTGAACCCAGAGCGCAGACCGGAAGCAAAGCAGAATTCACCTGAGCGAAGTCGGCTGCCAGCCTCATTTTCCCGCCTTCGCCAAGAGGCCGGAGCAGGCTGGCATTGCGGATGAAGACCTCAATGGCCCTCTGAGCAAGGCCCTCGGTCCTGTCGTAGACGAAATCGTAGCATTCGAAGTGCCTGAAATAATCGTTCATGACCCTGGAGATGAACCCCTGCAGCTCCCTCATGTACAGAGAGCAAGGGACGTCCGGCTTTCCCGAAGGAGGAAGGGACCTGCCCGACAAACAAACGAACAAACAAAAAAAGAGGGAAAGGTTCATTTCCTATCCATTTCCATCGGAGGTATTTTTTTTTAATTTAAGGTAGTCCTCGACTTACAACAGTTTATATAGTGACTGTTCAAAATTACAACACCGCTGAGAAAAGAGACTTACGGCCGTTTCTCACACTTTCAACTCTTCCAGCATGCCCCTTGTGTCACACGTGATAAAAATTCAGGTGCTTGGTAGAATGTTAAAAAAATATTCTGCAAATCCCACCTGACTGGCCCCGCCAACCCCATCTCTTCTCTGCCTCCCATTGAGTCCCAGCTGATCGGCTGGGTCTTCTTTGGTTGCCCCGCACAGGAGAACGGAGCTGGAAAGCAGGCTAGTGGGGTGGGGAGGGAAGGGGGATCGTGCCGTATCTTGCAAGTCACAAAGCCAACGGACTGCATTTTTCACATGGTTTACGTCTTGTAGAACCTGTAGAGAAGCAGTTACTCGATTACCCAGAAAAATCTTCCTGATGCATGGTCATGATAATAGCTTCTATGGAGTCACCCACAGAGTCCAGCAAAGGTTGCACAGCGTTGCCCATCAAACCGTGGATTGTCTAGAAAGGCAAAACCAAGGATAAAACCCAGGGTTAGAAAGCAACCACGCTGTCATGCCCCTGGTGGAGACTGACTCTGTGGGAGAGGAGGAACAGCCAACAGCGAGTGGAGGTGTGGCTCCGGAGATTGTGGAGGAGGCTGGGGAAGGGCAGAGTTCGATCCTACGTAAAGGCAGATATTTCTCTCTCTGGACACACTGAGAATATATCTGCTGAAGAAAACTCCACACTGGCAACAGGAAGAGCATCCGGCCAGTCAACACTCAGCTCCATTCAGTTTCCCAGACTCCATCCCGCAAGGGATTATGGAGTCATTAAAAGAGGATAATATAAGGATTCATCTGAAGATGGCCTCCAACATGAGTCTGAAAGTTCAGAAGAAAAAAAATCTATGGTCCTGCTGACCGACCCAGATTGGATCCTGCAATATAAGGATTGTTGCCCAGGGCAGTGGGGTTGGAGTAGATCAGTAGAAGACCTCCAAGGTCTCTCCCAGCTCTGTGGTTTTATTCAGAAGCTCAAAACGACACAAGAACTCTTTCCTTCCTCTCTTCTCACTGTCCCGTGAGTTAGTTGGGAATCGACAGAAAGGAAGCTTGTCGTGCAAAGCAAGATTTATATCGGTCTTCGTGACTTTAGTGTACACACCTACCTTCAAAGCAGCATGAACGGTTTTCTCTGAAGCGCTTGGAAATCCACTTTGGTTGGAGATCACCTAAGAAAAATACCAGGAACAACATTAAATGGTGCAGTGAGATCCAAGTATGGTGAATCTTCATTTTACAAGCTGGCCACAAAAGGCCAGCTGACCCACCAGCTGCGCCTATGAGAAAAAATACACTTGGTTTACTTCTTCTAAATCCGATTCCTCCAGGAGGCTGCGCAGAGATACTGCACAGGAGTGTGATGACCCACATGTGACACAAAAATAACAAAGTCACCAAAGTAGAATAAATTCCCTTTAATGCCTCCAACTTGGCCCCCAATGTCCAATTATCCTTGGCTGGATATCAAACTCTTCAAAAAACAGTCTACGAAGGGCAGAAATGCAGTCCGAACCCAAAGTAAAGATAATTAGAAATAAAAAAAACAACACAAACCACACTGAAGTAATTAACATGGCAGGGCAGGATGATAAATTGCAGGCTTTCAAAGGATAGCACAGCACCCACAGTTGGGAGGACGCCAAAACCCAGATAAGCCTCAACCAAGATAATGTACACTTTGCTTCCAGCAAGGAGCCGTGTGCGAATGCCCCACTTATATCCTGTTTTCCCAGCTGCAACTAATGAAAGGGATCAGGGCCTTTTTCTCTCTCGTAAGCCACATTGCTCCCTTCTCCATTCCTCCCTGCGTGCCCTAGGATGAAGAAGGGATGGTCCTGGGTTTTCCTCTGAATGTTCAGCCGGACTGTGTCCTTCCCCCATCTCTTCCACAGCCACTGGAGCCACACTCCCACTCCCTGTCAGCTGCTTAATCTCCCCCTCAGAATCAGACTCCAACAAGGGCATGACAGGTGTCAACTGGTAAAACATTCCTATGCCTGTTCTCGAGTCGCCATAAACAAAGCGAATCTGAAGGAGCAGTACGGCAGTTTAAAACCAGAAGTACATTCCACGCTTATCTTACAAAGATTGTAGCTAGGCTACCGGATCTTCTGCCTAGGGAAATCCTTCATTGGAGAATGTGATTGATGACACCCAGCCTCTGAACATGCTTCATTGGAGAATCTGATTTATGATACACCCATAGGGTCACAGGTGACTGTAAATTTCATATGCTAAAGTTGGCTTCATTTAGGTTAATGCCGATATGTTGCTCCTAATATATCTTTTGAATTCTTTTGAAGCTTGGCTCGAAGCTCATGATTTAATTAGGGCAATCGCCGGAGCCCTGACAGCAGGCAGTCCTCAACTCCTTAGCATCAGTGTGTGTTAATAATAATAATATACGAAATTCTAATGCTCTGATGGTCATTTCAAAAAATCCTTTCTTAGTGATCACGCCAAGAGGAACATACGGGCCAAATTTCAAGTTTGTAGGCTTTACAGTTCTAGAGATTTTGTGATGATGCGTGAGGGGCTTTTCTATATATAGAGATTGTATTTTCTATTAGTGTATATATTACTATTTTCCCTATATATATTTTCTGGCATCTCCCTTCTTGACCACATCACAAATGACCCCATTCGACAGCATTTGGGTGTGGCACCAATTAGAGAGAAGATGAGAGAAAGCCGGCTCCACTGGTATGGACACATCCAGAGAGCAGCACCTTCCGCCATGGCCAAGACTGCCTACCAACTAGAAGTCAATGGCCGGTGACCACGTGGGCATCCAAAACAGAAATATCAAGACACCATCAACAAAGTTAGGCAACATCAGAGCATCTGCAGCATGACTACTATTGTGAGACAACCCAGGAGCAAAACACAGCACACAGAAACTTAGACTTTTAACAGTGGTTTATATACAACAGTTATATAGAGAAATATATGTGGTAGGCAAATACCTGGCAAGTAATCAATCTTCTTAACTCTGCACAGAGAACTCTACAATGGATACAGGACACATGGAGAGAGAACACGCCCTCTAATGGCTGCCTTTATATAGATACCTCTTAAAGAGGTAAAACTTCTGTGGATCCATTCTTTGGCTTAAAAGGGCAATACCCATGCTATGCTGATTCATCCTTATTGTACCAACTTTACATTGCATCAGCTTTACAGCTGCTGGTCAGCTCTTAAATTTCAATACCTTAACAGGCAAGCCCTGGAAACGCAGTTGACCGTGCAGAGTTGTGCTCAATGATATGAAAAGCGGGCCCTGCACCTGCAGGAAAATGCTAGGAAGAAGACGACTTACTTTCAGAATGGATTGGTGCAGCTTGTAGAGGGAGTTCACGACCGTCACATTTCGTCTCTGCCCTTCGGTTAACGGGCCGATCACCTGGCTGGCTTCTCCCTGTGTGGACAGCTGCAGCGAGCAAATGAACAAAACCCCATTATTTCATTGGAAGTATTTGCACTGTTTTCACACACATCGCTTCCTTTGCAACATGGAAGGAAAAGGGGAAAAGAGAATGTTAGGTAATGTAATTTTGAATTCCCAGCTCCCTCCCCCTCCCCCCAAAAAATTATTGGAGTTGTCATCTTAGAATAACAACAACAATAATAACAACAACCAAGTTGGAATAGAGTCAGCCTGCAATACTCACTGCGCCACCAGGAAGGACAATGAAAAAGGGAAGAAGGAAGGAAGAAGTAGCACTAGCACTTTGACTTATATACCACTTCACAGTGCTTCACAGCCCTCTCTAAGTGTTTTACAGAATCAGCATATGCTCCCCAACAATCTGGGTCCTTATTTTACCAACTTCTGAAAGATGGAAAGCTGAGTCAAACCTTGAGCCAGTCAGGATCAAACTGCTGGCAGTCGGCAGAGCTAGCCTGTAATACCGCATTCTAACCACTGCGCCACCATGGTTCACTGATAATTTCCAGTGATGCTATAAACAACCACACACTTGCTTTTTAATCTGAACTCCACAATTAAAAAGCAAGTATCTCTAAAATGAACTTTAGTTCTTATAGAGGTGTTGATCCACAGAGCTGTGTGTAGCTGAGTATATATGGAGTGCGGAATAACAGAGTTAGAAGGGACCTTGGAGGTCTTCTAGTCCAATCCCCTGCATAGACCCTATACATTCCAGACATGTGATTGTCCAATCTCTTCTTTAAACCTCCATTGTTGAAGGATTCACCACTTCTGGAGGCAAGTTGTTCCACTGATTAATTGTTCTCACTGTCAGGAAATTTCTCCTTAGTTCTGGATTGCTTCCCTCCATGATTAGTTTCCATCCATTGCTTCTTGTCCTGCCCTCAGGTGCTTTGGGGAATAGCTTGACTTCCTCTTCTTTGGGGCAGCCCCTGAGATACTGGAACAATACCTGAACAATGTCTCCCCTAGTCCTTTTCTCTAGACTAGCCAAACCCAATTCCTACAACCGTTCTTCATATGTTCTAGTCTCCAGGCCTTTGATTGTCTTAGTTGTTCTTCTCTGCACATTTTTCCAAAGTCTCAACATCTTTTTTTGCAAAGTGGTGACCAAAATTGGGTGCGGTCTTCCAGGTGTGACCTTACTAAGGCTTTATAAAGTGGTACTCATACTTCATGTGATTTGGATCATATGCCTCTGTCTATACAACGAAGGATTGTATTAGCTTTTTGGGCTGCCGCTGCACACTGCTGGCTTCATATTTAAGTGATAGTCCACTCTTCATATATTCCAGAAATCTTGTCCCCACCATCTGGGATATTATTTGGGGTGAGAAAAAGAGACTGTACAGGGAAGGAAGCAGTGGTGGTATTCTACCGGTTCAGTACAGTTCAACCGAACTGGTAGTAAAATATGCTACCTGTTCAGCTGAACCTATTTCCAACAATCAGCTGCGCCACGTGATTTAGATCAGCTAGAAAGCAGAAAATCATTGGATTTCTTGCTTTCTAGGTAATCTAAATTGCAGAGTATAGTTGACCCCCCCCTCTTGCTTTTATACTTACCTCGCCAGGAGGCTTCCTTGAGGCCCAGTAGGAAAAAAACAGGGCACCGGGGTGGGTGAGTGGGTGGTGCTGCAAAAAGAAAAAAATCACACCACCCAGCCACGCCCATCCAGCCACGCTCACAGAACCGGTAGTAAAAAAATTTGAATCCCATCACCGAAAGGAAGAGCCGACTTAGGTCGGCTCCCATTATACATGGATACAAATTTGTTCCGACTGGTTTTACAACTCTTGCTTCTAGGGGTCCGTGGTGCTTCTCCTGAGCTTGGTGGTTTGCTTGCAGACGTTTCAAATCCAGCATCACCGGTGTTGCAGAAGGGAGTGGAACCCCCCACAGTTCAACCCACTGAGCTACAAATAGCAACCGGCGCTTTGGTCTAGGGACGAGTGCAGCAGAACTTCTGATTATGCTCTTTCCTGATTAAATTGGACACCCGTCGATTGTGCATCATGGCACGGCAGACTAAAGAGTCTTTCATAATTCACCCTCCATGGCCCTTTCGCAAGCACGTTTGTTAAACTGCTGCTAACAGATTTGTTCTGTGAGCAGAAGTTTTGGAATTAATCATCATGGCCTGCCTAAACATACCACCATCAGCAAGTTGATTCTTGTTCTGTTCTGTTCTGTTCTACTCTAATTCTATTCTATTCTATTCTATTTTCTATTCTCTTCTCTTCTAGGTAAAGGTTCCCCTCACACATACGTGCTAGTTGTTTCTGGCTCTAGGGGGCGGTGCTCATCTCTGTTACAAAGCTGAAGAGCCAGAGCTGTCTCCGTGGTCATATGGCTGGCATGACTAAATGCCGACTGTTCCCTTCCCACCAAAGTAGTCCCTATTTTTCTACTTGCATTTTTGAATCCCTAGTGTCGCGTAACGGAGTGAGCTCCCGTTCCTTGTTCTAGCTTCGAAAGCTGCTAGGTTGGCAGAAGCTGGGACAAGGAACGGGAGCTCACTCCGTTACGCGGCACTAGGGATTTGAACCGCTGAACTGCTGACCTTTCTGATTGTCAAGCTCAGCGTCTTAGCCACTGAGCCACCACGTCCCTATGTTCTACTCTACTCTAATTCTATTCTAATTCTATTCTATTCTGTTCCATTTTCAATTGTTCTGTTCTGTTCTACTCTAATTCTATTCTATTTTGTTCTGCTCTGTTTCATTTTCTATTCTGTTCTGTTATATCCTACTCTACTTTACTTTATTCTATTCTATTCTATTATTTCTTATTCTGTTTTGTTCCGTTCTGTTGCATTCTGTTCCATTCCATTCCAAACAGCAATTTGGCTTTCAAGGGCACAGCCAACACTTTTGAAGCATGACTTGAGATGATCTCAGAAACCTACACCCATCTCTCTCCAGAAATTGTAAGCCATCTCAGAAGACAGCCATGGCCAAAACATTTCCATACCGTTGTCAAGAAAATTACATGGATGAGTCCATGCTGCCATCAGGCATTGAATTCAGCTCTAAAGAGTGCTTGCCTTCATTTACAGAATCCTAAAATGTTCCCAATCCTTTGAGTTTCATGGTTGTGTACACTCACTCCTACAACTTGGAAAATGTTCACATTTATTAATATAAAATGAGAGAGCAATTAAATATATTTGTAAATATATATGTGGACACAAACGAACACAATACAGAAGCCTGATGATGGCAGATGAGATTCTGCCGAAACGTTGCTACAACTTTAAAAGCACAACTACAATGACGTGGGAAAATACCCGAACAAAGCTGAATACCATACATATATATGTATATATTTACATATATATACATAGTTGTTTTCTTAAGTTTTCACGGGTACTTACATGTATGGCATTCAGCTTTGTTCAGGTATTTTCCCACGTCATGGTAGCTGTGCTTTTAAAGTTGTAGCAACGTTTCGGCAGAATCTCATCTGCCATCAACATACATTCATACATACATACATATATGTAGATTTTCATGGGTACAGGTATGTAGGTATAGGTGTGTTCGGGTCTTTTCCCGTGTAAGATTAAGAGTATCTTGGCAACGTTTCAGCGAGGTCCCACTCGCCATCCTCAGGCTGGTGCTCTAGGCTTCGCGCCGGTGCAAGCAGTGTGTGATTGGAGCTGCCGTCTCTCTATAAACACTGCTGGGGGAGGGGGCTGGTGTGCTGGTCTGGTTGGCTGTGCTGCTGCCTCTTGATTGGCCGATGGAGTTGATGTTGGTGTAATGGGCTGTGTGACGGCCCTGTGAGTTTTGTTGTGGAGATATCCTGGATCTTTTGCTTTAATCTCCTGGGTCGTTTGTGTTTTGATCTCTTTTCCATTAGCCTCCTGTGTTGTAACGGCTTGGGTAATGGGTTGTGTGGTGACCTTGTGAGTTTTATTGCTGTGGTATCCTTGGTCTTGTGCTGTTATTTCCTGAGTCGTTTGCTGTGTTGCAACTTCTTGAGTTCTTGTGGTGTAATTTCCTGAGTTTTCTGATGTGATATCCTGACTGTGTGGCTGTGATGTAGCATTCTGGGTTTTGGTCTGGCTTCGAGTTTGGGGTCTGGGTCTGTGTTCTTGGTGTGTGTCAGCTTGTTTGGTTTTGGGATCGGGGGGGTGCGACAGCTGGCGAAGCAGCCATGGTCTGGTTTCTGGATGGTGGTTATCTGTTTATAGGATGGGTTTGGGCCTGGGTCTGATGAGGGGGATTGGCAGTGGTGTCCCGTGTTGTTTTGGGTCTGGTGTTGGTTTTCGTGGCTGGGACTTGTTTGTTGGTGAGGGCTAGTTTCCAGATGTCTGGTAGGTGAGAGGTATCGTCCCGTTTATTCATGTTATGGGGGTGTTTCTCTATTTCGATGGCTTCCCTGTTTATTCTCTTGCTGGAGTGTTCAGTGTTGGATATTAATTTGGTTCCTTCGAAATTAATTTCATGTCCTGTGGCTTTAAGGTACTGGAAGAGGGAGGAAGCAGCTGACAACGCTAGCAAAAATAGTAAAGAGGGTTTTTTTTAAACTTAAATATAGTGCGGCAAGGCAAACTTTAATTTCTTTTTTTCTTTTTTCTTATTTTCAGAGCGCATGAGAGGTTGCCAAGGTTCCATCCCTCATTTCTAGACAACTCAATTTTTTGTCTTCCCAGTTCGACACATTTATCTGTGTGCAGCAGGTGGGCCCTGTTAGTGTATTTCAATCCACCCACATGTGAAGTTCAGCAGAAATAGCATCAAAGTAAAAGAACATACAGTACTTATATTACCACTCACACTGTGATCTAACTGCGGGCATTAACACAAAATGAAGCACATTTTTTTTTTAAAAAAGCACTGTATAACAATTTGTGGAACAATCGTTCATTGACAAAGAGGCTGGGTGGTTTGTTTAAATCCATTTGGTGTTTTAAGATCCAAGAAATCGTTATAAGCCGTGCTTGCCATTTTTGAAATATTATATAATAATG